CCACAGTTTCTTTATTCATTTATCCATCAGTGGACACTTAGGTTGTTTCTATAGTTTGGCTGTTGGAAATAATGCTGTAGTGAACATGGGGTGCAGATATCTTTACAAGGTAGCATCTTCATTTTCTTCAGATAAATACCCAGAAGTGGAATTGCTGGATCATATAGTAGCTCTATTTTTTATTTTTCTGAGGAAAGTCCATACTCTTTTCCAATTGACATTCCCACCAACAGTGCACAAGGGTTCCCTTTTCTCCACATCCTCTCCAACACTTATTTCTTGTCTTTTGATAATAGCCATTCTAACAGGAGTGAGGTGATATCTCATTATGGTTTCAATTTGCATTTCCCTGATGATTAATGATGTTGAGCATCTTTTCATGTGTCTGTTGGCCATCTGTATGCCTTCTCTGGAAGAATGTTCAGATCTTCTATTCATTGTGTTTTTGTATATCATATATCGAACTATAGTATAAATTCATATGTATATAATGTGTTTCTATTAGTACTTCTAAGATACTACTTTTTAGGTTGAAATTTAAATTTACATATAAGAAATAAGGGAATAGCCTGCTTAAAATTTCTTCCTGATGTCTAGCTAGTTGCTGTACGTATTTATTGAATAAAATTTCCCCGTTAATCTGAAATATCACTGTTACCAAATACTGAATTCTTACAGATGGTATACTGTATGTCTCCTTCAAGACTTAGACCTTTAAACCTTTTCCTATGCCAGTGTATACTATTGAAACCAATTTTGGGGCACCTGGGTAGCTCAGTCGGTTAAGCATCTGACTTCGGCTCAGGTCATGATCTCACGGTTTGTTGGGCTCTGTGCTGACAGCTCAGAGCCTGGAGCCTGCTTTGAATTTTGTGTCTCCTCCTCTCTCTGCCCCTCCCCTGCTCACAATCATTCTCTCTCTCTCTCTCTCTCAAAAATAAATAATAAAATATGTAATTTATATATCTTTATAATATATTCAATGTTTAAAACAACATTTGAAGCATTATTATTTACCTTTCTTATAAGTGGTCATTTTGTTGTGTAAAATGATTATTAAAATTTTGTTTTTATTTATTGAAAAAATCTTTTCGGTTTTCTTTCATGTTTAAAAAAAACCAGTTTGGAACTATAGAAAAGTTGCAAAAGTCGGGGCGCCTGGGTGGCGCAGTCGGTTAAGCGTCCGACTTCAGCCAGGTCACGATCTCGCGGTCCGTGAGTTCGAGCCCCGCGTCGGGCTCTGGGCTGATGGCTCAGAGCCTGGAGCCTGTTTCCGATTCTGTGTCTCCCTCTCTCTCTACCCCTCCCCCGTTCATGCTCTGTCTCTCTCTGTCCCAAAAATAAATAAACGTTGAAAAAAAAAATTAAAAAAAAAAAAGAAAAGTTGCAAAAGTAAAAGAGTTCCCTTCATTCTTCAACTTCCCCTAATGTAAGCATCTTACGTGATACGATTATTGAAATCAGGAAAGGAATACTGACATAATACTATTAACTAATCCACAGACCTTATTTCACCAGTTTTGGGGCACCTGGATGGCTCAGTCCAACTCTTGATTTTGACTCAGGTAAAAAACTAACAGTTTGTGGGTTTGAGCCCCGCATTGGGCTCCATGCTGATAGTGCAGAGCCTACTTGGATTCTCCCTCTGCCCCTCTCAACTCACATTCTCTCTCACTCTCTCAAAATAAATAAATTTTAAATTTCACCAGTTTCCCCACTGATGCCTTTTGTAGTCCAGATCCAATCCAGAATTCTACATTGTATTACATTGTCATGACTCCTTAGTTGGCTTCAGTTGGCTTAGGTTGGCTGACAGTTCCCCCACTCTTTGTTTTCATAACTTTGATACTTTTTAAGAGTACTAGTTACTTTGTAGATTGAATTTGTCTGAGATGGTCTTCTGATTTGATTCAGGGTGTGCATTTTTGGCAAAAATACTAAGGAAGTGATGTTGTGCTGTTCTTCGAGCAACCTTAGAGACTGCATGCTGTCGATATTTATCACTAATGATCTTTGAATAATTGGTTAAAGTGGCATCTTTTACGTGTCTCCTTTTGTAATTAGTATCTCCTGGAGGAGATACTATCCTGTTTCTCATACTTTCACCCCCTAACTCTAGCATCTATCAATGCCTCTTGCTGAAATAATTACTGGGGTGTTAACCTAATGGTGACTTTCTCTGTCATTCATTCTACACTTATCAATTGAAATAATCCCGTCTCCCCAATTATTTATTCAATTATATACTTATATCACTATGGACCCATAGATTTATTTTATGAGTTATTACTCAGTACCATATTATGTTACCAATTATTTTTTGTTTTTATTTAAGTAATCTTTACACCCAACATGGGGCTTGAACAAGAGTCACGTGCTTTTCTGAGCCAGCCAGACACCCTATCAATTATTTAACAGAAACAGTGCCTTTAAGTACTTACAAGTGTAATTTCAAATGTAACGTCCCCACATCTAACATATGGCTTGTTATTTTCACTTGTAAGGGGAAATTAAATTTTTCTTCACATTGTATTTTTGGATTATGGTTGACTTACAAACCATTTGCACACTTCTGTTACCAAATGCTGAATGTGTATTTACAAGCTCTACCTAATTAAGGGCTTGGAGAGAGTAGAATGTGGAGCTGGCACAAGGCCAGCCATTAAGCATGGAGGGCAAGAGGGTATGGCTACATCCTGTGGCTCCATCAGGCTGTGTGCAAAATACACTGAACGCAAAATTCAGCGAAGGAGAAACATCAACTATCGTTAGCTGACTGGAACCAGGGGGAAATTTTCCTTTGAACTGCTTTCCAGGTATTAATAGCAACGTTACTTTGAAGGTGCCTAAATTATTTTATTCTTTCCAGGTTTGAAGTCAATAAAAGGAAGCTGCCACAATTTTTGTACTGCTGTTTTCAAAGATGTCACTTACAAGGAACTTAAAAGTCTCTTGAATTCCAGACAAATTACGTTAATTGATGTTAGAGAGAGATGGGAAATTGTTGAGTATGGGAAAATTCCCGGGTCTGTCAATATACCATGTAAGTGACCTGTTGATACCATGTAAGTTGATTCATTACAAAAGTATATATAGATTCGGTAATTTACTGTATCTAAAATTTAACTGAAATTCTTAACATTTTCTTCCAGTGGATGAGGTAGGTGAAGCTCTACAGATGAACCCAAAAGACTTCAAAGAGAAGTACAATGAAGTAAAACCATCCAAATCTGACAGCCTAGTGTTTTCTTGTTTAGCCGGAGTGAGAAGCAAGAAGGCTGTGGACACAGCAGTATCTCTGGGCTTTAACAGGTACATAGATGGAGTGTAAAAATGTATTCAAGAATGTGTATTGCGATGTTTCATATGTATGTTTTTACTGGTCTACTGAAAAAAATTTTATAATCACTGTGTTAGTAGTAGCAGGATAGTGAATAAGAGCCTCTGCATTTTCATCCTACTCAGAAGTCTTTTAAATAGTTTTAAAGTCTAGAGTAGTCCTTGTATCTCTAGATCTCTAAAGTTCCTATCGACTTTGTGTTTATAAAGCAGGAGAAAATGTTTACAGCATTAACTTTGCTATGTGTTTTCAGTGTTCAACATTATGCTGGAGGATGGAAGGAATGGGTGACTTATGAATTTTCAGAAAAGAAAAAAGGAAATTGAATTCTGGAATACAAGCTGGCTCTTTCCTTTTGTACATGCAGCACAGGATAGTAGAATGAACAAAATAATAATCGAGTCCTGGCATCACTGGTTAATGGGAAGGGGATTTTGTGTAAGTCAATTCTGTGTTGAATCTTTTTCCTAACTGTAAACTGTAAATTGAGAATGCCTTGCCTATTTCCTTGAGGATTGAAATAATGTATGTAACTTGCCATAGAAATAGAAGGGTTGGATTCTAAAAAAAAAAAAAAAAAAAAAAAAAAAAGTTTATTTATGAGAGAGGGAGAGAGACAGAGCATGAGCAGGGGGCGGGGTTGCAGAGAGAGAGGGAGACATAGAATCTGAAGCAGGCTCCAGGCTCTGAGCTGTCAGCACAGAGCCTGACGTGGGGCTCAAACCCACGAGCTGTGAGATCATGACCTGAGCTGAAGTCAGACGCTTAACTGACTGAGCCACCCAGGTGCCCCTGGTATCCTAGAAATTAATTTGTAAATAGTTTAGTGAACTAGTTTAGTTTACTATAGTACAATAGTACTCTCAAAGCCCAAGTTACTTGTAGTATTTAATCATAATGTAGGACCATTTGTGTTAGCATGGCTTCTATTCATTAAAGAGTCTATGAGCTAGACAAGTTTTTTTTTTTTTTATGATTATAACATATTTTAGTTTGTAAATTTTCCCATTTTAGAAAATTCATAAAATTGTCTTAATATGATATACAAAATTTCTGATAGATAAACCTTTCACTCATGATGAATAGTTACTGAATATTGAATAATATAAAGCAGCTAGTAAGCATTTCTTGAACACCTTTTCTTGGTTGAGACCCTATGCTAAATATTCCAAATACTAAAAAGATAATAAAATAGATGCGATTCTTCTCTGAAGATGTTTGATTTCTAGCAGAGGTCTATAAAAGTAAAAACAGACTTTGTCTTAAAACACCAAGAATCTGAGCTCTAGAAAAGTAGGTGAAATATGAATAATGAAAATACATTAACACCCCCCAAAGACTTACGGCAATGTTGTAACCAGTATGGTAGCAATATAACTTGCAACTTAAATTAGTTAATATGACCTATAAAAATAGAAATCATAGCGATTGCTTCTGTAAAGGGAAGATTAACTGGAAAAAGCAAGGAGGGAAATTTCTAGGGTGATGGAAACGATTTATATCTTGATTGAAGTGTTGGTACATAGAGTAATACATTTATCAAAACTCATTGAACACTTGAAAACATACATTTTCTGTAATTATATCTCAATTAAAAATAATGAAAATATGAAAAAAATTTAAATGTAAATAACTGTTACTAGCATGAATATATGCCTTTGGAATGTCAACTCCTATGTTTGTTAGTGCACTAGTGGTAAAACAACTTTGTGCTTTCTTCCATCTGTGCCTCTTCAGACCCAAATATGTTCAGTCTCATTTATGTAGTCATTGAGGTCATGTAAGGCCTAGGAAGCAACTATAAGGACTTGGTTTGATATTATTAAGCCATTGGAAAATCTGGGGTAGGAATGATGTGACCACCTCGAACTTCTATTTCTGATAATGTCAGTCTATTTCTAGCAGGAACTAGAAGAGGTGGAAAATAAACACACACACAGGCATGTTCCAATATTGGTTCATCCTCTATAGCTTTCCTTTTCCCTGGAGTATAGCTCTTCAAAGCCTCACTGCTTTAGTAGTTCCTTCATGCCTTTAAACAAATCTTATTTATTGATATATATAAACAAATATTACTAGGACAAACATATGAAGGTGGGAAGATTTGAAGAGAGAGAGAATCTCTCGGGGAGAAGGGAAACTGCGGTTGAACTACTGGGCCCATCCAGGAATAAGAACCTGGGTAAAGACCCTGGGTAAATACACCAGATGTTTAGTTGGAACCCCTGGGAAACTATACCTTAGGAGTAAAGGTGAACCAGAAATTGTCCAACCCTCATAAAAATGTAAGACCAGCTTCGAATCCACTAAATCACTGAATGAATTAAGGTGATCTTAGGAGCCTACCAGAAGTAAATCCCCTCTTAGAGAAAGACATCATTAGCTAGCTAGAGCAAAGGGTTGGCAGTAATGAATTTTTTAGGTTTGTGGGCCATAAGGTCTTTGTTGCAACTATTCAACTCTGCTACTGTAGCACAAAGCAACCACAGACAACACATAAAGGAATGAGTGTGGCTGTATCCTAACAAAACTATGGCCACTTAGGCTCAAATTTTCTATTTCACATGTTGCCAAATATTCTTCTTTTCATTATTTTCAACCATTTAAAAATATGGCAAACATTCTTAGCTCAACGGCCAGACAAACTAGATGGCAGGTGAGATTTGGCCCATGAAACATAGTTTATAGACCCCTGAGCCAGAGCCATAAATATTCTCTACATTTCTTTATATTCAATGCTCGGAATTCTATAACATTTATTAGAAATGGCAGTAAATAATACTCTGGTTTCTCTTCAGATCGCATAAATCTTTCGCCTTTTACTAAAGAAATGGCAGTAAATAGGACCTCACAATTGAAAAATAAAAAAAATTAAAAACAAATCTACATATAATTGACATGTTGGCATTTTCAGACAGACTTTATATTGTTTTCAATGTTATTTTTGAGAGAGAGAGAGAGCAGAGGAGAGGCAGACACAGAATCTGAAGTAGACTCCAGGCTCTGAGCTGTCAGCCCAGGGCCCCACGTGGGGCTCGAACCCATGAACTGTGAAATCATGACCTGAGCCGAAGTCAGATGCTTAACCAACTGAGCCACCTGGGCACCCCCTGCCCCCAGACTTTAAAATACCTATGCTTTGTATTTTCAATAACTTAGATGACAAAAATTATTTAAAAACCACCTACATTTATTCTTTAGGACAAGAAAGACAAATATAGACTCGGAAGGGGAGGCAAAAGAAAAGGCCTAGAAATAGGAGCAGACAAATACAATTGAGCCATCGGCCCAGGCCGACGGCGGAGACTCAGTCCGCGATTGCAGCGGATAGAGTGAGCCTGTGAAGTCGGCCGCTTAACCGACTGCGCCACCCAGGCGCCCCTAGATGACAAAAATTATTAATGGAAGTAATAAGTAGTTGGAAACTACAAAAAAGTATCAAACAAATTCTAGAATTTAAGAATAACTGAAATTAAAAACCCAGTAGATGGGCTTAACAGATTAGACACAGCTGACGAGGATTAATAAAAATGAAAAAAAAAACCATTGAAACAAAGGCAAAGAAAAAGAAGTGTATTCCTCATATCTTGGATACCTAAACAAAGATAAAGGACTCAGGGAAGAATGTCTCCCTATGAGTGACTTAGGGAGTAAATGAATTATAAATGATTCTGGTGACAAATTAATAAAATGTACAAAGTAAATTGAGCAAATTACAACGAAGGCATTACTAACCTTTCAGAAAGCCAAAAATATTCTAAAAGAAATGTAACCATAGTACACTACAGAACACATTATACATATATACTTGATATACACTGAGTATGAATTTAACAAAAATTACACAATTGGGAAGACAATGGGAGTAGAAGTCTTAATGTAGAACCAGGTGGGTGAGGAAGTGGAAGCAAGAGAATAGAGGGAGGTGTGTGAGAAAGTGAAATCTTCATTTTCCATAGGAAAGTTAGGAAGTTAATAGATAATTTTACTATTGGGAAAAAATTCAAAATAAAAAGCTGGAGGGTAAACATAGGAAGCAGTAAGGTAATTAAGAACATGGGGTCGGGCAGCTACCCAGGTTTTAAGAATTAGAACCTGGGGCACCTGGGTGGCTCAGTAGGTTAAGCACCAGACTTTGGCTTAAGTCATGACTACGATCACACAGGTTCAAAAGCAGCCCCACATTGGGCTCTCTCTCTCTTGCTGGCTGCCTGCTAATAGGTATTCACTTGGATCCTTCACCTCCCACCCTCTGCCCCTTCCCCACTAGGCTTCTCTCAAAAAAAAAAAAAAGAGAGAGAGAGAGAGAACCTAATCTGGGGTGCTTGGGTAGCTCAGTTGGTTAAGCATCCAACTCTTGCTTTCAGCTCGTGAATTTGAGCCCTGCATCAGGCTCTGCACTAACAGTGTGGGGGCTACTTGGGATTCTCTCTCTCCCTCTCTCTCAAAATAAATAAACATTTTTAAAATTAAAAATAAAATAATTAGAACCTAATCCAAGCTCGTCACTCTTGACCTGTGACATTTCTCATCTCTACAATAATTGTTCTGAGAATTAAATGACTTTATCATGTAGAAACCCAAGAACATTCTTGTCACCTAAGTGCCCAATAAAAGCTATAAGCTTGTTACTTGTAAATGTGGAAGTTAACATAACAGCAAAGAAATAACTAAAAGTTGCTCTGGGGGGCAGGAATGCTCAAGCAGTAGGGAGAATGGGTCAGGAGTCTTAACATTTCCCTTGTCTTACAGTGCACAGTCCAACAGAATTAAAGCCATTATGTATTTTTGAATTGTCTTACATTTTAAAAAGAGGTGAATTTAATTTTAATCGTGTTTTATTTGGTCCTGTCATTTAAAATGTTAGATATTTTACATTCTTTTGTATTATGTATTGAATCTAACATGTATTTTTACATTTACAGCACATCTCAGTTCTGACTAGCCACATATTCAGTGTTCAACAGCCACATGTACCTAGTGGCTGTCACACTGGACAGTGCAGTCTACAGCTCTTTTTTTTTTAACAACTTATCATCAGTAGGTGATAAGTCACAGAAAGCAACAACCAGCCATGATATGCTGTCTGTGGAAGACACCTTTAACAGTAGTCTACCCTCTCGAAAAAAATTTTTTTTGAACTTGATCAAGCCTTTACATTCAACTACCAATTTATAGAAAATACAGAAAAAGGAGCATGTTAAATGGCACTTCAAAGATACATTTAGTAAGATCCATATGGTGGGAAACCCTCAGTAGATAACCAAACCAAAAAGGGGAATTTAAAAAATAAGACAAGAGGAATCCATGAATTTTAAAAGACTTAAAGGATTTATCAATCAGTTGCAATGTCTGGTGCTGATCCTGACCAGAATTATTTATTTTTCATGGTATTTGTAACTGAAAATATGAACAATGAATATTTGGTAGTACAATATTATTTTAACTAATTCTCTAGGTATAAAATTTTTTTCTAAGAGCCATTATCTTTAGGAATACACACTGAAATAATTATAGAGGAAATATGGTATCTTGCATTTGCTTCAAAATAATATGCATGTTGTGGGAAGTTGACGCAAATTTAGGTGAAATGAAATTGGCCATGAACTGGTCATTATGGAAACTGGGTAATAAATACATGGAGGTTCATTACAGAATTTTATTTGCTCTTGTATATGTTGCTTTAAATTTTCTATAATAAGAGGGTGAAAACAAAACAAGTCATATGTACTAACTTTCAAAATAAAAATTTTAAAAGAATATAGGTAGGCTTAAAAAAAAACTTAAGGTTAAGTCAGTGGTTGTGATATATAATCACTACGCTCTTCCAACTCAAACCCACCTTAATTCCTTCAGACCTGAGGAGAGCATTTTTCCTTATTTCTTATTCTGCCCGTAAGCCCGTAAGACCTACGTTTATCATTGGTACTGACTTTACAGTACCACTTTACCACTTTACCCCAACTTATCTGATCCTCTCCACAAGGAAGCAAAACTCTACAGTCTAAGAGCCATTTGAATTACCCACTTGACAAACTATAGAAGACTTTAAAACTCGTCTAAAGGAAGAAGGACACTCGGAAAACATAGGCAGATTCAAAATGATAAATTCAAGACATTAGTCATAAACTGGAGAACATTACTTTTATTCTTGAAGTTTCATACTAGGAAGTCAACACTTAATTTAATAATCCATTGTTCACAATTGATTTATAAAAAAACTTAATCCTTAAATTGTACATCAATATCCTATGACTTCAAATTTCATCACTCTCCTTCAAATCTGAAGAAAATGATTAAGTTCCACAGACAGCACAGTCCCACTGACATAACAGTTTGTCCAAGTCCTACACTCATGAGAATTAAGAATGGCCAGTATCAAACTGGCCTGAAACCTGATTGTGTTCCTGGCTCAGGATACCTGTAGTAAATTTGTAAATCCACACTAAGACACAAAAATAAACTAGGGAGTGTATGTCATATAAAAACTTTTCACAGTAGAGTAAAAATTAACATTAAAATGTTACCAAATTTCAACCATATCATGGTGTTTTATCCAATTAACTTTCAAAATGCCTGATTAACTGTGAATCAAATGCAAATAAGGTCATGTAGGATTTTTTTTTTTTTAAGTTTGCCCAGCATTTCAAAATGGTTATGGAATTAATATAACTTTTAAAATGTCAAAGTATGCTATACATATTGCACTTTTCTGCTAGGCTGGGCTAGTATCTTCCATGGCAAGATACTAAAACTACGAATAAAATACACTTTTAAATCAATAGGTACTTGATTAATTTCCCTGAAATTATCAATATCGTTACCAAAATCTTCCAGGATTTTGTAAGATTTGATTCCTTAAATACAGTTTTAAAGTTTAACTTAAGGAGGGAAAAAAACCCTCATATATTTGACTTTTTATGTCTTTTTTTGGTCCTTCAATGACCAAAGAGAATTTTAGACAAATTATGCTTCATGTTTCCTGGCTTAATAAAAAGCTATAATTTCTATTATCCAAATTAAGAAAAATTATACTAATCAAAAGTTATTAATTTTGAAATGTCTATGTATGTCTGTCTGTAGGTCCCCTTAGAACCTTTCCAAACTTTTATAATCAAGAGATTTCAATCAATTATGTACTAGAATCAAATCAGGTAAGGTAAAACTTATTTTGCAAAAATAAAATCACTTCCCAATATGCTTGACAGAAACAAGCTATTCATTTTCATTTGTGTTCCATTGAAGACATAACTGAAATCTGTCCAATGGTTTATTTCCAACTGGTCCACTACGGAATTCTTCGGAATGTTTTAAGATTGGCTGTAGCTAGAGTTCTGACTTCCATTTGGACCCTGCTCTCCTTCACTGTTCAAGTGGGGAAGAAAGAGATTTTATACCAATTAAAAGACTCATTTTCAACACCCTGATAAGCCAACTAATTTTTAAAGTTAGTTACTCTATGGTAAAACTCTACAAAACAAAGACACTCCTGATTGTCTGACACAGATTGCAAAATTAAAATACAGAAGACTAACATTTGGTTTTATGTTTTTATTCTTCCATAACTTGGTGCCCTCCCTCACACATTACAAGTATTCTGGAAGTTAGCGTCCACATACATTCAAAACATTTAAATAAGGGTATGGGATTTCACTGTCATTACAGGTATCACTCAACATAGAGATTAGAGCTTTTTCTGAACAAATTTCCTGTAAAATTAAATCTTATATATAAAATCTTATTCCTACCAAATATGAAAATCAAGAAGTGTTCTTCTGAAAAAATGACTGTCCAAAGGCGTAATAAAATCACATGTAAATACAGCAAACTTTTATTTATGAGTCAGAAAATAAAAATGGCAATTTCCTGGAAAATGCTGAATACTTAAAAATAACTAAAACTGAAAAATACCAGTAACTGTGGCAATAGAATTATTGCCTTATCTTGTCCATCATCATCTTGCAGCTTCAGGCCCTGCCACTAGTGGAGAATCACTCAGGGAATTTCTGCAAAAAATGCATCCAAAGGTAGCTGTTTGAATGAATGCCTTAAACAGCTCCTTGCGTAAGTTAATTTTTTCCAAATGGTAACATTAACTTATCAGATCTACAAAACTATCTTGATACATTCTATAACTTATTTTTCTTGATAAATGATTAAGATGGGTAGCATTGCTTTATTTCCCTTCACCTTTTTTCCTACTCTAAATGATCTGATGTGAGAGCTGAGAACCACTGAATTAAATGAATAGATCCCATAAAAAACACCAACCAAAAAAAAAAGAAAAAACAAAAAACTCTTAGTACAAGTGATTCATATTTAGCAAAATTATGGTACTATATGCCACAGTTCTTCAAGTCCCTCAAAAGCCAAAATTCTTTATTTATCTTTACAATATCAGGTCACTATGGAAATTTATGAAACAGGGTAATAGCCAATAGTGGAGGGTGAGGGGGAAAGGCAGAGTTGAAATGACATGGGATACTACAGAATTCTTTATTCCTGAATTTCAGATGAACTAGTTCTGCTTGAATTTATGTGCAGTATATAGCAATATGTTGAGGGATACCTGTAAGAGACCTGCCATTGCATTAGGAAGTTAACAGAGGATCAGATTAATGTATTTTTTTAAATGAGACACTGTCAATCAAGTCAGATTGAAAAAAAGTTATATGTATCATGAAGTTTTGGAAGAAATTTCATGAAAACAATACAACATAATCTATGGAAAAATATGAAAATGTGTATGAAATACATAATGAAATGAAATCCATAATTAAAGTCTATAAAGTACCTGTTTGGAGGAGGTTTTGGTTTCGGCATCTTACTAAGAATAGTTGCCATCTCTTTTCTCTCATCAAAATTCTTCCACTGCTCATACAGTTTCAAAATAACCCTGATTATTTCCAAAATCTAGAAGGAAATATTGAAAAGTTCTCAGTAGCAGTATCAAGCAACATGTACTATGTAAAGAACACACATCCTGAGGAAACAGTGAAGACAGAATCTCTGTCCTTAAGTATTCGGGTTAGATTAGACAATCCTGATAAATGTGAAAGCAGTATTTTTACTGCACTGCTCTGTAGGCTTCTCCTTCAACCCTCTCATCTTTTAATATGCATACCTTGTCCATCCTTATCCATCTCTGCAGTTGGTTTCCTTCTATCTGCTAATATCTTAAGCCAAAACAAAACAGGAAACTGGAACAGAGGTCTAAATCATGATAGAGTATGCCACTACAGAGTACATTCCTGTAACACCAATTGTTTCAAACAATTCGGTGGGAGGTGGTGCACCAAAGTCGTCGTTTTGTTTCTCCGTTAATTACATATGAGTTAAGGTGCTCAAAAACTGGCAGCTACAAAATCCATCGTATCCATTTCCCAATTAGCCCTTTCTTTCTCATCTGAGTAGACCTCACTTGGATTGATCTAATGCTATCAACATTGCAGCAGAAAAGGTAGAAAAAAAGGGCAAAACCCACTTTGTCAGGAGGCAGGCTGTGTTACAAAAGTTTACAGTGGTATTTAGCGGTCTCCAGGTAGCTTTTACAATAATCCTAGAAATGAGGGGTAGCTTTGCAACTAAGAAAACCAAAAGTTTACCATTCTGTTTAAGTGTAAACCCAAAAGACAAATAAAACAAACAGTCAATATCAATTCTTCTCACCAAACATGTTTCTTAATATTTTTACCAAAAATCATCTTAGCCTGGTGGACAGCATACGATTTTAGACTCATGTTAAGTAAATATCACATTAACTTTAAAATGTTCAAGCTTATATTCAATTAAGGGAATTTTAAAGACTACCTTCTCCATATCCACAGAAAGTTCAGCAAACCACTGTCTGGCATCTTTCTGCTGTACAACACAGGCTACATGTAGACAAGCTGGAAAGAAAATGAGAGAAAGGCCCATGTTTAACTGCAAACATGAAATGTAGGGACTTAGGGCTAAAGGTAAGATTTTCACTTAAAATATTCATCTGCATTTTCCAATATTCCTTATAAAAATGACATAAACTCATCTAAAAGTTACCAGTGACCATCCCATCAATTTAATATAACACAAACAGAAAAAATTAATAGACTGTACTAAGGTTCTTGATATCTCCTGCTCCTTACTGTGTGCCAGCCATGGTATACTTGTTTGTAAGTCAGGGCATGTTAGGAAAAAATCCAGTGAAGAAACTAGAGCAGGGAAATGATCCCTGAACAGTGGTGAGTGGTAAAAATACACCCAAAGTCAGTTTGACATGTTAAAGAGAAAAACAACAAAAACAACAATAATATGCTGATATATTTCAATAAATTATGTTTTAATATTTCAATTAAAAGCAGTGCTGCCTCTGTTTTAAGTTATTAGATAGGATCAAGTCAGGTGAACACCAGGCACCCAGGTATAGAACTCAGTGTTATAATCAAATAGAGCCTAGAAAAAAATGTAATGCATCATATACAATATAATTACAGTTGACCTTCAAACAACATGGGGCTTAGGGACACTAACCCCCTCTGCAGTTAAAAAATCTGCATGAAGGGGCACCTGGGTGGCTCAGTCGGTTGAGCATCTGACTTTGGTGCAGGTCATGATCTCACGGGTTTGGGAGTTTGAGCCCCATATGAGGTTCACTGCTGTCAACTTGTCAGTGAAGAACCCACTTAGGATCCTCTGTCCCCTTCTCACCAGCCCTCCGTGGCTTGCACTCTCCCAAAAATAAATAAATATTAAAAAAAAAAAATTGCATGTAACTTTTGACTCCCGCAAAACTTAACTACTAATAACCTACTATTGACTGGAAGCCTTACTGATAAATAGTCGATTAACACATATTTTGTACATGTATTATATACTTTGTTCTTAAACTAAGCTAGAAAAAAAAAATGTTAAGACAATTATAAGGAAAATAGATTTACAGTTCTATAAAAAAAAACCAAACCTGTGTATAAGTAGACCTATACAATTCAAATCCATGTTGTTCAAGGGTCAACTACATATACACATTACATACAATATAACCTAACAAAGAGAGTAAAAGAGCCCAACACAACAATCTACATCACAATTTTCCCTGATATAATTCCTACCAGCAGCTTGGCTACCCTGAGACACCAGCTTCTTGAGTTATATTCCCTGGTTTAGTTACCCATATGATTTTGCTAAAGATGTCAATTTAGGCAATCAGTGACTCAAATGGGAACTGACATAGTGGTTACCCCAAGTCAAACGAAGCTGTAAAGTGGGGTGTAGGTCCTGGAGAGACTGAGAGGCCAAGGGACTGAAATTACAGTAACAGGTAACTGAAATACAGTGGAAAATGCCATAACAGAGCAGACACAGAGTAAATCAGAACCAGAGAAGACATCCTAAACCCAGACTGAGGTGATGTAGGGAGTTTGGGAATGGGGAGGGTGTCACTAAAGACATCTGAGCCAAGTCTTAAAAAAAAGGTGAGAGTGGGAGCAGAGAATGGTATGTATAGGTTAAAAGAAGCTATGTATTTTATCCAGAAACTGGGAGGAGAATTGAAAGATTTGAAAAAGCTCTTCCTGGGGCGCCTGGGTGGCTCCATTGGTTAAATGTCTGACTTTGGCTTAGGTCATGATCTCACAGTTCACGAGTCCAAGTCCCATGTCTGGCTCTGTGCTGATAGCTCAGAGCCTGGAGCCTGCTTCAGATTCTGTGTCTCTCCCTTTCTCTCTGCCCTTCCCCCACTCATGCTCCCTCACATGCACACTCTTTCTCAAAAATAAATAAAACATTAAAAAATAATAAAAATAATAAAATAAAAAGCTCTTCCTAGCTCAGGGTTTCTCAACCTTGGTGCTACTGACACTGTGGGCTGGATACTTGAGACTGCCTGTACATTGTAGGATGCTTAGCAACATCTCTGGCTTCTACACACTAGATGCCAGTGGTATCCGCCCCAGTGGTTATTTTGTAATAACCAAAACCATCTCCAAACATTGCCATACATCCCCTGGGGAGCAAAATTATCTCTGGTTGAGAACCACCAGCCTATCTCAACTGTGGCAGACAGACTGGCTCTCTGAGAACAGGGATACTAGATGCCAATTAACCAGTAAGGAGACTGCTGTGGTCACCTGAACAGAAGTGAGAAGATGGCTATGAGATTACCAAAAGGACAACTGAGAGGAAGGCACAACAGGTATTGGTTACCAACTAGATGTAGTATCGAGGGAGATGAAAGAGTCTAACGGTCAGGCTTCCAATTAAGGTAACTAACTACTGCTATTTACCAAGCTAGCAAAGACATTAAAAGGAACATCTTCTTAGATAAAGTGATAGGTTCAGTCCTGGTCATGAGTCTGAGGTGCCATTGAGACACCAAGTGGAGCTATCTAAAAGGTAGATAGATATAAAGAACTGCTCAGGAGCAAGGCCTTGGTTAAATAAGGAGTTGAAACGTTTCAACCCATAAGAAATAGTAGAAACCATGGGGCCCAGTGAGACTACTCAGGAAGAACAAAGATAGCAGGGGTGCAAAATTGCAGGACATGGCCTGCTATTCCTTGCTTCTTACCCATGTGTTCCTTCCCAATGAACGCAGATTCCACTTCAGAATCCTTCCAAACACAATGGTTTCAGAGAACATCCAGGACTACAAAAGTATAATAACCTATTTGCCACCCCCAATGTAAGAAGGCTGAGAAATATTAACATTTAAGGAATAACCGAAAAAAGAGAAACTTATGAAAGTAAGGTGGTGAGAAAATAGGGGGAAAATCAAGAAGACAGAATCATGGAAATCAATAGGAAAAAGAAACTAGTAAGTGCTTAATACATGGCAGGCATTACAGGTGCTCTACAAGATATTTAGTTCTTGCAACTAATAGTTCATTTAGTTCTTGCAACAATTCTGTATGCAGTTAGAATCCCCAACATTTTGCAATTAAGAAAACAAACTCAGGTTAAATACTTTTCCCACAATTGTAAAGTAAGCAAAGTTTAAATTTAGGACTATATAACTCCAAAGATTGTGTTCTATCCCATTACACTGCCTTCTACAGATAGATAAAATGGTAGCTAACTTATTCTTCCAGCAAAGCATTGACTACAGAGCTCCTTTACTGCACCTCTAAGGACTTAGTTGGGCTTAGGAAATAAAAGGCCCAGTTATTCTATGTAAGTTACAAGTAATATTAATAGGCTTAATTCTGAACTTTTCTTCCTAAACAAACAAAAATGTTCTATTCAGACACTGGTCAAAATTATTTTAAATGATTAAAAAAAAAAAAACTTACCAAAAGAGTGGGGTGAGAGGGACAATAATCCTGATTTATGAAAGTTGCATTTCATATTATTGAAAGTTCACATGCAAGGATTAGTCTATTACTTCATGAAATGTAACAACATAAAGTATAATAGCGTGAAATTTCTTTTGAGATGACCTAAGTATATTTGTAACAATTTAACTAATAAAGGTATACCATGCTTACATACCTAAAGCTATCATGAAAGGAGGATACAGTAGGCAAAGATCCGTTCTGTAGGTATCATTCACTATCCTCCTATAGAAATGTAAATCATATTATTACTGAAATCAGAACTATCTTATATGATTCCACATCTCCCCCCAGAGAGGACCAGATTTCCCATCTTTGTACATACTTATATCTTTAATAGTACTGAAGTACAAATACAAAGGTGAAAAATATCAAGGAAAATGACCATAAGCATATTTTAATGAATAAAATTACAGCTAAATAGATTCTAAAACTTAAAACCCTACAATAAATTACAATATAAGGATTTTTCCAATTTTTCAAAAATTAGAAAATCAAAGAGGAAACCAGAAATTATATAATTAACTAATACGCATGTTGAATACCAACAGAAGTATTCTATTTGAAAAATAATGTCTTACTTTTTATGTACTCTGTTTTTCATAAGAATCAAATTTTAATGGAAATATTAATCAAATAAAGATCCTTACAAATTTAGCATTTATATCAATATAGTTAAAATTCAACAAGGAGATTATTTCATTTAACATACAACATCTTGGGACACCAGCTTAATTACTTTAAAAACACTAAACTTCATATCCAGTTGTCAACCTTCCTAGCTAATAACACATTACACTATGAATAACTTCTGTTCTAATTACCATGCAAGGGGAAGCAACATGTCTTCTTGGCCCATGTCCTGCACATACTGGAGCAAAGGTCTATAAGGATGATACACTATCAAGCAACAATCCTAGAAACAGTTTAAAAAATGTGTATGTATAAAAACAGATATATTACAACACAAAAACTTATCATTACCCAACTGATTTGTAATTGTGTATTTCAAAATGTATTTCTCTAACTCATGCTTGCTTCCCTCTTATTCTGTTAAGCAAGCAGTATGGCAGCCCTAAACTCTACTATAATAGTGAAGGCAGTGCTCTCTCTGGAATATACCTTGGTAAATCGGTTGGCAGTCAGTCAGCATCCATTCCCTTAGAGACTCAAAGTGTCACATCTGCAACACACTGAAACCTCTTATTAGCCTATAAATCCATAATTCCCAACTGGAGGAGAATTCTGCCAAAGACATAATCTATCTTTAAATAACACCACACACATACACAAATTGTGCAAATAATTTACAGTGGCTTAATGTCCTGACTAGTTTGCTTGTAATCCTTTTATTATAGTTACTATAGAACAGAAAAATTTTCCCATCCTAAGTGGGCTATACAAATTATTTTACAGGCTTCTGAGAGGATATAGGTGATGATGCTACTAGGTACTATGATTTTACCATCATGTATCACTTGGATGGTTTTAAAATGCACCTCCCTACAAATCATTTCTTTAAATAATTTCTGACTTCACTAAATTTGAACATGTTTTATTCTATTAATCACAAGGAAGTAATATACTTACCATTAGTTCTAAAAGATAGAATTCACATTCTAATATCTGTTTTAAAAATAAAAAGATTATAAATGTCAATGTGAAACAAATCAGTCTACTTAGTCTAACAATTTATATACATTACAGTAATATCATAAATTTTTACTAAAATTTTTTAAAATCAAGCACATAGCAGCTTATATGAAAATGAACATATGCAACAAAAATTACCTTTTTACTATACTACAATGAATGGAATTATGATTATATCCTTATAAGGAAAAGCCAGTTCCATATAAGAGTATCTATTTTTTTAAATTTAAAATATCCTGTGTAAACTTCAGATTTTCCAATACACTTCACAAATGCAAAATGCAAAAATGCAATGATCTCCACTTAAGTGTTACTTAATATATTACAAATCAATAAAAGGAAAGAATACTGAAAATGAAATAAAAAAATCTAATTTACATAGAATGAAGAAATCCCTTGCAAAGCAGAAAAAGGACATGCCTCTTAAAAACGTTAATAGAAATTCATCTTCTAAACTAATGTAAAGTTTCAACTATAGTTTTCATACTGTTCCATTCTAGTAGTTCCCAGCCCTAGATGCACACTAGTATCACCTGAGAGATTTTAGAAAATACCAGTCCTCAGGCCTCAAGCATGAAAATTCTGTTTTAGTTGGGTCTCTGGAGAGGCCCTGATATCAGCATTATGAAAAAGTTCCCAAAGCGATTTAATGAGCATCCAGGGTAGATAACCACTGCTATTACATACTTTTTTTTTTTTGGTAGAAGTAATTTAGCTTTAATTTTAGATTTAAGGTTTATATTCTTGTAGTACTCGAGACTGCCACTTACAGGTTTCAGTTTATTCTAACATAAAATGGAGCTAGTTTATATACAGCTTTGACAAGTAGTTTTATTTTATATAATATACTTACATGGTTCATCCTATAAGGGAATTCCTTTGGAAAGGCATATGAAAATCTAGTTTTTACTGCAGAAAACAAAAAATGACTTAGAAAATGAAAGAGTAAATTAAACCAATATTTCTTTAACAAGTGTAGAATATTAGAAGAAGGGGTAAATCATTTTTAGTAAGAGCTCTTAGAGATGCTTAGGGACCCAGATATTTGTTTTGTTTTCAGGCAAGGGGAAGAACTAAGTGGCAGGAAGGCCTAGGCCCCCATCTATATTACAATTAGAGAACTTCAATTATATACCTAATGTATTACTCTCCTCCTCTCCTGCTCACGCTCTCTCAAAAATAAATAAACATTAAAAAATTTTTTTAATCTTTTCAGCTCTAGAATGATATTGTTCTGTTTTTCAGTAATTCAGCTTAGAAGGGATACAAGTTATGTATGTGTTCAAATATATATGTATTTCTAAATATACATAAAAGTTAAAAGGATACCATAACCAAAGAATGTTAACAGTGGTCATCTGATTTAAGAATTTTTATTAATCTGTACTATCTGTAATAGATACTTCTTTATCAAAAGATATATTTTAATAAAACCATAAGTGTACGTGAAAAGTTCCTACAACTTTTTCATACCACACACAAACACACACGTACAGTTACAACTCTCCTTTGTCACTAAGAAAATACAAATGAAGAAACTATTAACTATCAATCCTCTATCTCCTCAAAATGATATGAGTGTACACATTTAAGTACTACTATTTGAGAAAATTGTATCCAAGTCATTATGATGCAACATTTCATTAAATCAAGTGATTACCGACAGGCTCTAGAGGATCTGTTCTGTGATCCCTTCCACTTGTACAAAGCCCAAGACCTCACAGAGATTTAAATTTTTTTTCATTTATGCTATGTACTTTATTTTCAAAAAGTTTTATTTTGTAAACTGGGTATCCTAACTAATTTAGATAGGTAACATCTGCCAAGATTTGAACCCTAAACCATTTAAAATTGATATTAGGAAATGTATACTCAAGCTTTCCTTTCCTTCCTCCTTTATTTGAAAACATACCAATTATTTATTTCTGAGTTTTATAAATCCTTCTGATGTAAACAAGATGTAAAGTGTACAAATAAAACAGGTATTTATTTACATAATGGTCACTAATCAACAAGGTAAAGTTATCTCTGTACATTAAATAAATCTACATCCCTAACTCATAGACCTTGACACCTAACTTACTAAGATCTACCTGATACTGTCAACTTCTCTCCTACTCCATGATAAAATTGCTCTGCATTTTGGTTTTCTACCTCCTAATCCTTTTCTAACTTGGAGGAAAATGCACCCCTCCTTTCTATCGCTACCTCTACCACTTGCACATTTGCTTCCCATCTACTCAGTTGACAGTTCACACTTTGTTTTGCACCTTTAACCAGTCCTCCTCCAATAAATCTGTCCTATCACTTACCAGTATGCTCAAATTTCTCTTAAAAACAAAAGTAGATACAACCTTTATCAAATTATATTCCTTTGCTTTCTTAAAGTAGACTATTTTTTGGAACATTTTTTAAGTTTACAGAACTGAAGAGATAATAGTTACCACATCATCCATGTTACAGGCTGAATGTTTGTCCCCCCCAAATTCATATCCTGAAGCCCTAACCCCCGTGTGATGGTATTTGGAGGTGGCACTTTAGGGAGTTAATTAGGTTTAGATGAGGTCATGAGGGTGGGGTCCCCATGAAAGGATTAGTATTCTTTTTTTTTTTTTTAGGATTAGTATTCTTATAAGAAGAACAGTAACCTCTCTGTCACGTGAGAACACAATGAGAAGGCAGTTGTCTGCTTGCCAGGAAACAAATGGCTGATCAAGGAAATGATCAAGGCAGACACTCTGTTTGATCTTGGACTCTCCAGCTTCCAGAACTGTGAGAAATAAACACCTACTGTTTAAGTGACCCAATCTATGCTATTTTGTTCGAGAAGCTTGAGCAGACTAAGACAACTGCTCACCCACCCAGTTTCCCTTGTTATTAACATTTTATATTAGTATGGTATATTGTTATAAATAATGAATCAATAGATAATTATTAACTGAAGTCCATAGTTTATTCAGATCTCCTAGTTTTTTCCTAATGTCCTTTTGTCCGTTCCAGGCTCTCATCCAGGAGACAACTTTACATTTACTTGTCATGTCTCCTTAGATTCCATTTGGCTGTGGCAGTTTTCCAGACTTTCCCTGTTTTGATGACTTTAGCAGTTTTTGAGAGTACTGTATGTATGTGTGTGTGTATATATATATATATATATA